GACAACACTAGCTTCGTTTATTTGCTGGGAAAACTCGTGGAAAATATGGCGTTGGCGTTTCCCCAGCTCGTTATTTATCCACTACTAGCTTTGCAAAATTCCGATATCGATAAAGTATTGGATCCTAATTCTTCGGCGTTACGCAGTAGTGACGTTAACGCAAGCTCCTATTATAATGCGATTCGATCCAGCAATGAATTAACTAATCATCTTCAAAATAAGTCGCTGGCTGCTCACAACTTGATACTCAAACTTGTTAAGAAGGATTCTAAACTGCGTGATTTAATAGCCGATGTGCAAAAGCTTTGCGTAGCGCTCATAGAATTCGCGTATTACATAATTCCCGATTACAATAAAAAAGACGCTCTCACGAACGATAAAAAGGCTTTCGCTATCCCGTCCCATCTATATTTGCATCGTATCATCAAAAATAATTCGGCCGATTCAACCCTCAATAATATCGTGATTCCTATATGCTTGCCAGCCGATAACGATATTTCCACTCTTTCCTTTGATAATTTTCCTCGCATAATGAGCTTAGACTCTACTTTCCAACTAGCGGGAGGTGTAAATTTGCCCAAAATAATTACATGCCTCGGGTCTGACGGTATTAAGCGTAAGATACTGGTCAAAGGTCAAGATGATATGAGACAAGACGCCATAATGCAACAGGTCTTTGGCTTGGTAAACTCTCTTTTGACCCGAAGTTCTTCTGACAAAACTGGAGGTGCCCAAAATTTTAACAATCTCGATCTCGATTCGTTAGACGATTTTAAAGATCCGCAAAACTCGCTTCTAATGATAGACGACAAAATAGGCTCACGCAGCGGTTTCATGGACAAATACATGGACCGTCCGGAATATAGGAAAGCTAAATGCGACCACGAAAGTTCCTTCGACCCAATGAACGATGGCAATTTAAGTTTAGAAACCTACAGAGTCATTCCTATGTCCCAAAAAAGTGGTATAGTCGAATGGTGCGAGGATACCATTCCTTTAGGCGCCTACTTGGTCGGCAATCCGAGGGATGAGACGTCCGGGGCTCATCACCGCTATAGATCACATTTAAACGACTACAGCGCCCTGCAGTGCAGAAAAATTCTCACGGTATTAATATCATTATATTTTTAATATTTACATTTAGCCATAATATTTAGTTCAACTATTATTTTGATTTTGTTAAACGTAACATTGCAAGTCCTAGTGGTAATCATAATAAGTTTGTGTGTAAAGGTCAAGTAAACCTATACAAATATTATACTAATAATAATAATAATAATGTTAACGTTTTTATTGTCAACTCTTAAACTCGATTATTTTATTAAATCGAAATGTTTAGATTTCGCCTTGTGGGTTCAAAATTTAATCAATATCAGAAATCAATTATCTCTTTCATCTATTTCAATTTTAAACGCTCAAGCTGTGTCCTAGGTCGGCAAATAGACAAAAAAGCAAAAGAACATTATTTCTTAAAAAATGGAAAAAAACAACCAACAGAACAAAAAAATTAGAATAAATTACAAAAAATAGCAAAGGTCTACTTAAAATAAACCAAAAATAGGGGTCTTTGGTCATTTTTTGGCCTATACTAAAAAGCAATTAATCCAAATAAGCCTACCTAGCACACGGCCTCAAGAATATTTTAATATTTTTTCTTCTTAATATTAAAATAATGTTCTATCTGCAATTTAATAAAAAAAAATTATATTTCTTTTATTCGTTTTATTATATAACATATTCTATAGTGCCATGGAATAATATTTAGTTTTATTTTAAATCTTATTATTATGTCATATGAATTTTCAGAATATTTTTTCACTCAATAGAGTAATGTAGTTGTTTTGACAAATACGAGGGGGAAATATGCATATTTAAAATGTATTATATTTTATTTTATTTTTAAAAAATTTCTATAGAACGCCACCGATAAGTTATCCGCCTTTGAAACGATATGCGAAAACTTTCAACCCGTTTTAAGAAATTATTTTTACGAAAATTATTCTGATCCTTTGCTATGGTATCAAAACAGAAAAAATTATATAAATAGTGTCGCAACCGCGTCCATAGGTTTATAAATATATATTTATAAATTTTGACAATTGAATTATATATACCAGCTGGCTACGTATTGGGTCTCGGAGATCGTCACGTTCATAATATATTATTACGCAAGATTAACGGGAAAATTATACACATCGATTTAGGAGTCGCGTTTGAACAAGGGAAATTGCTGCCTACCCCCGAGTCAGTTCCCTTCAGGCTCACGAGGGATATTGTCGATGGTATGGGAATATTCGGGATAGAAGGAATTTTTAGAAAGTTTTTTATACATTTTACTTATTTTTGATTAGTTTTATAAATTAAATAAAAATAATTGATAATTATGGTTGAAGGTTTGACTCACCTTCCAAGCCGGATACGAGGATTTTTTTTTCAAAAATGGCGAGAATTCTAATTAAAACTATCTACTACGAAAAAAGAAGAGAAGTTTTTTTTAATAAATAAAAGAAACATATCAAATAGTATAATTTTAAAAAATTTGGACCGAGTCGTACTCAAAAATATTTTTGAAAAAATTATAACCCACCCACCTCCCCCACCCCCCACCTTGACCTAGAAAAATATTGACATGACCAGTTCTGTTAAATTTCTTTAAAAAAAATATTTTTTATTATCTTAATCAGTAAGAAAATCAGGTGTTGTTAAACGGCTCGGTTTTTAAAAGACGGCTAGCCCAATATTTTAGTCATATTACGCCAACCTGGAGATTTTTTTTTTGGACATTTATTAACGAAATCTCGAGGCTTGTGTAAGGATTATTTTGGCTAAATCTTGATTTAAAATTTGAGAAATTAAGCCGTTTAACAACCTTCCATTTACCCCCTCATATTTTGAATTTCCATTTGGAAATAATTGCAAAACAATATTTATATTCTAAATTTTTAAAAATCCAGGCCGGGGCCGTAAATTAAAGTATTTCGAATTTTGCAGGTCTCTGATAAATGGCAAAAGAATTAAAATCTATATTTGAAATTCCCGTTATAATTGCAAATTAATGATCTTATATATTTCCTTTATTTATCTAATATCTTCAGAGGTACCCTTTATCAGGCTGGGCCCAGGGGTATTGAACATATAACTAGAGACTATAATATTTAACAATCATAGAATAATTTATCGACAATATCTACTTCTAAAATTAGACAACCCCCATTTCACCCTATTAAACCCTATTAATAGGGTGAATTATTTATGGTGTCAAATCTTCTACCCTTGCAGTTTACATCATCCTATACAATCAAATTATTTTTAAAACTGGATATGAACCCTTACTTTAAAAAGATGATATATTTTTCATATTTTCTGCTTCCAAAATATACTAAATTTTTACAATCCACTAAAGATATTTTATTTTCAACTCTTTCTTATAAAATGTTACCAGAGCCGGTATGATTAGGGTTAGTTTACATTTATCCATTTCTTTATCAGTTTTTATATACCTTTTTTAATAAGCGTTCACCGTCTACATGAGCGGAAGGAGTAGGTGTAGTTTGCTTCCGATTTTTTCCAGGAGGGTAGGTGGTTAGGCATTTAATAGAATAATAGTGAGGGAGAGCGGAGGTATCAATTCAATTTTTAGATGAAATAGGGCAAAATATATTGCTGTAAAATATTTGATATTTTTACTTCAAATTTTTTAGAGTTTTTGACCAAGTTAAATACTCCTTCGGTCAATAGACTGGTCAATTGCCAAGTCAAATACTCTTTCGGTCATTCGACTGAATTTGACCTTTCAATTGACTGACTTTCCTACCCTGGTATGCATTTGATAAATATTTTTAAAAAATGTTTATTTATGAAAGGTTAATATTTTCTTAATGCAGAAATTGCGAAAGGGTTATGGGAATTTTAAGGCAGTGCCACGAATCCTTGCTAACTATAGTGGAAGTTTTGTTATACGACCCTCTGTACTCTTGGTCCCTTTCACCTTTGCAAATTTTGCAAAAACAGGCTAACAATCAATGCAATATAGATAAATGCACAATTGATAATGATAATACTCAAGAGACAATTAATTTGTCGAAAATTAAACTGCCCAATGAAAAAAAGACCTCTAAAAATAGTAATACAAAGCGATTGAGAACCACTAGGGACAATACAAAAATGTCAGACGCCTCATTATTGAAAAATCAATCGACAATATCAAAGATATGCTCGGGAGAGAAATCAACTCATATATATAAAGGTTTTTATTTTTACTCGTCTTAAAAATTGTTTATTATCTTTATCAGATGTTAACATACTTGCTGAACGAGTTATAATAAGGATGAAACAAAAATTACAAGGAATGGAAGAAGGTCATTTGATGAGCATTCAAGGCCAGGTTAACATAGATAAAATTTTATTTTTTATTTGCTAAAATTTTATTCAATCATTTTAGGTTTATCATTTAATCCGAGAAGCTATGGACCCACAGAATCTTTGCCGGTTATTTCCTGGGTGGCAATCTTATATTTAGCTCAAATCTTGCACAATCATATTATTTTTATCATTCGCAAATCTTTGTACGAATTGTATATAGTTAATGTATAAATTTAATCTATTAAAAAGAAATTTATAATCAAATAATCAGGTATCTTTCTATAATAAAAATGAATAGTAAAATTTATAATATATAAAATCAATCAATTGAAATAAATATTGTTTATCGAACCTAATGTTTTATACTATTGGTTAGCTCTATTGGGCTTTAATGTGACAGTCCTATGTTGCACATCTAAGGTCTGTTACATAAAAGTCGAATGGAGCTAATATTATTTTTTTTAAAAGAAGCTTTGAACAAGGTAATTAAAATGGTTAACCCCTTCGTATATTAAAATCATTTATTTAAAATTGCTAAACATTTTATTCCTTTTTATATGCAAAAATTATTTTATTTTATCATATGATTTTTATTTAATAACCAATCAAATTATTTTTAAATGACTTTTCATTCGCAATATCGATAAATCCTAAATCCAAATCGAAAATTAGTGAAAAATGAACAAAAACACTGCAATATTATTTATCACATTATATAATTTTTTTCATTGATAACATATACAGTCAGATTGTTTAAAAATGGGAGGCAAACAGAGTTCTCCTAGAGTTAGAAATAGTGATGGATATTATCATTATTCATCTGCCACATCTAGTATATTACCTCAGGATCAAAACACCTTAGATGATTCCTCCCAACTTAATAACAGACCCCGTGCCAGAAGCCTATTTTCTAATTTAAATGATACAAATTTTGATGATTTAAGTTTCCCCTCATCTTCAAATAATAATTTATCCTCCTTAACATCACCTTCATTTTTGAATAATTCTGATGATAATTCACCCATCAATTCATTACTTTCTACTAGATTTTTAGCCCTAACACAATCCTTGCCCTCTTCGTTTTTCACATTTGAAGGTAAATATATAATGTATTTGAATACCAACTTAATATTGAAAGATTGGCAATTTTTATTTTAATAAAATTTATTATGTTTTAAATTGAAAATTAAATTTTATTTAAATCATACATTATAATAAGTTTTTTTTAATAAAAGATTATAAGGTAAGATTATTTTTATAATAAGATCACATAAATTCCCATTTAAAGATATATTCTAAATAAACAACATTGGCACATTAAATTGAGAAAAAAAATGCAGAAATGAATTAGATGACAGTTTTTTTTTAATGAAATGACTTAAAAAAATAGATGCTCAATCCTTTTCAGTTGTGACAACATATAGATAAGGACTAACTAAACCAATCTTATTGAATAAACAACAACTTGTAAATATTAAATCATATCTGCCTGTTATACCTTCAAGCTAAATCATTCTTTTTTCAAAAAATTGGGTTTAGCAGTCTTTATCTATATGTCCAAATTGAAAACTTGTAGTTAGAGTCATTTAATTTTTTAAGTCATACCAATGAAAAATTTTGTTCTTATCCATCTCATTTCTGCATTTTTTGTGACTATTGGTTATTTGTAATATATCTTTAAAAATGGAAATATATATGTAGGTTGTTCTTCATAAATAATCTTATAGTCTTTTTTTAAACTATAATGTATGGCTATTAATTTATACTCAATTGACATACAATTAAAGTCATGCAGGGCTGGACTGGCTATAACATCAACAATAAAATATACATCTGGACTGGCCCATAGGGGCCACAAAAAAACCGCCTAGATCTAAAAAATTTTACTATTAGGCCATCTAAAAAAATCGATTTTGCAGGTATTAATAGTAATGGGGTTTATACATATGTTAACATTGAGGCTAGAGTAGTTGATTGAATTATAAACTACTAAGGCACGAGATTTGGCAATAAATCTTTCTGCCATCTATGTACAAAATATCGAGGCTTACATAATATAATTTTAGGCTAAAATCTTACTCGGGTTGTTTTTAAAATTGAGAGGCTATATTTTTACATAAATACTCAGATTAAATTATAATGGCAAATCAATGTCTGTCTTAGAGGTGCCTGCCCACATGGATAAATAGGTTAAGAAATTAAGCAGATATGGCTGAGTAAAAATTATTTTTAAAACAATGGATGGCTAGAATTTTAAAATTCTTTGTGTGCAGAATTAGCAGGAGGGGCCTATTATTTTTAAAAAATTGATTTATATTCAAATAAATAAAAGGCAAACAACCAATTATTTTTGACCATAGTGGGGGGGGGGGGGTAGGCTAAATATTTTTAAATAAATGGGTTAGTGATTTTTTTTTCAAAACAATGCATACACCTCAGGTCTTTGATATAAAAAAATTATTACTACCAATTTTCAATATGATAGTCTAAATTTTCTTTTAAACATCATGTGGGGTTGTAATATTGATTTTTGAATTTTAAAATGGTAAACTTGTTCATACGAAAGACATCTATTTTTTTGATACACAAAAAATCGTAATTAAAATCCACTTTTCCCATACAACCACGTGACATTATTTTATAAAAAAATGACTAGTTATTCTAACTTGATCCCCAGCTTTTCAGATTTATATGCCTCTAAATAACTATATTTTAAAAGGTTTTTTTCCCCATTAAATTTGATTTTTGATTGAGAGGAAAATAACACTTTTAAAAATTTAACTATATATAAATTTTACCCTCATTAAGATCTTAACCTTTTAGCCCATATCTATGATTGATATCTTCTCATTAGGAAACCCTATTTATCTAAATCAAAATGTACAAGAATTTTTAATGGTTTCGAAATCAACCAATTAAAACATTTTATACCCAGTTATTTTACAAAATTATTGTGCTTTCTTATATAACACGTTTTTTCCTAACTTTTCCTTGGGAAAATAGCTAATTTTACAACCTGTTTTAAATTTATTCCCCATTACACTACCTGCTCTATCTCACTCATTATCTACGTGAGCTTGCCATTTATTTTACCTTTATCTTACAATATTCGATAATAATTATCGTGAAAACAATTATACGCGAGTACGAAACTATTTCAATGTTAAGATTAACGCGTTAAATTTTTTAATTTAATATATATTAAATAAATGATTAATTAATCAGCCAAAATAATGTCATAAAAAAAGTATTTTGAAGGCTAGGATTATTTAATGAATTAAAAAACATATTTTTAACTTTTTAAAAAAAAAATCAGTTGTGTATTTATATATTTTTAATTTTTAGTAATTATAGGAGCCCCATAAAAGTTTCATTCACGTAATCGGATGATTACTTGCTAAAATTCACTTTTTTCTTAATTTTGTGATTATATTTTACATTATTAGGTTATCTCCAAAAATTTACGATTTCTTTAAAATTTAAAAAAAAATATTTTGGACAATAGCCTTAGATTTTGACACAAATGTAAATTCTATTCTTAACGAATTGACTATTTATAATTATACCAATCGAATAAGAATAGTATATTTTACTATTAATATTCGTTTTTGAATAGACCTACTACTTTACATACTCAATAATTTTATTCTTTTATTGATTTAAACAAGTATTGAAAAATCTGACTCAAAACTAAGACAGAAATTCAGCTGATACCATATTGATATCGGTAAGTATGCGTATCGGCCAAAAGTTGGAAACGATGCGTCTCTGATGATGAAATTAATAAATGAATGATAAACTAGATCATCTAACATATTTTTCCAATTTTTTATTTCTTATCAGTTCTCCCATTTATTATTGTAATTTTTCTTTAAAGGAGCCCAAAAATTTAATAGTGTTATGATAAATATAAATTTTATGTAAGTGATTTAAACCTTAAATAAACCAGGATTTTTCTCTTGGTTTTTAATTACATATTCTATTTTATAAGAGAGCTAAGGGAAAAATTAGGTAAAACCGAGAACTTTGAAAAAATATCGGAAAAATTTGAGGGATTCTTTTAAAAGTAAGACTGACCTCTTTGTTGAAAAGTTACCATGGTCTAATATGTATGATATGGGATAGTAAATATATAATTAACTCTAAAGTTTCAGCCCTATTTCGTATTGTAAACTTTTTTTAAATATTGGTTTGCCTTTATTATCTATAAATTTGATCAATCCTTGGCAACGCCTTATATTTTCAATGTAAAAACCCACAGTTGTTTGGGGTAGAGAAAGAGGGGAACATTTGTCCCTCTCAATTTATTTTTTTTCAAAAGATATTGGCCAAGATTTTCTAGATAATTATTTAATTATATCGGTATTCTAATATTTTTAAAAATAAATGGTAAAGATTTTGCTACCCCAGAAGCAAAATCCTAGATATATCACTGAAAATTGTAAAACTATCATAAAAATTTGAAAAATATAAATATTTTTACCTAAATTAAAGATATGTTAAGACCCACGTGACCTTTAATAAATATGCTCGTGTATTCAGTCTGGAGTTATGTAATTTAAAGGATCCAGGCTTTAAGATAAAAAAAAATATGGGCTGTCGAGTTAAAAATAATATTTTTGAAAATCCGGAGTGAACTTGAAATTTTTGAATCTGAACTGGGGTCGGTTGCCCTCTAATAAATATTTTTAACTATTTATAATTTATTAATATCTATAAATTTCAAAAAAAAAAGTGTATCCTTTCATTCACATTGGTACAGCAAATGCACCTCCAATTTTTTTTTGTCATAATGGCACTCTGGGGTAGTGCCACTTCTCTAATTGATATTTTCTAAAAGCGCACTAACTTTTAAACCAAGACGGCATATGGCAGTAAGAAAATAATATATTTTACAATTATAATTGTAACAAGATATTGCGCCAAAACACGTGATTTTTTTCAATTAAAAAATATCAAGATTTTGAAATATTTTATTAAAATAAATTATAATTTTTTGTAAGGTATTCTTTCTTTTTATCTTTTATATTAAATTCTAGCCATTACCAGAGGCTGTCCGGGTAAAAAAGAATATAAATGTAACATACATCAAAGATGTTTTCCAGAATGGCCTATCATGCATGATTGATCATTTACAAAAACTGTTTAGAATCTACTCGATGCACATAAAATTAGAGGAAAAAAAATAAAGATAAAAAATAATAAAAGTTAGAGAAAGATAAGCCTTTTTTAAAGCCCTTTCGTTCTTAAAACTTATGATCATTTTGAAACAACTGTGTAACATTTTTTTAATTAGATAAGATTATATATATTTCAGCTATTTAGTTTCAATATGTTATATATTTATGGAGAGGCACACGATAGTAATCATTTTAATTTTATGAAAGATTTCTGCCAAAATTAAAGTTCCTGATATTTGCCATATTTAAATTTCCACTTTAAAAAAACAAATTGTAGGTCAAATATCAAAATCAATTTTCCCGAAATGGCTAAATATGATAGATATATATTCAAGCAAAAGTATTTTGATTTGTAGTTGGTGACAAAATATTTGACAATTAACATGCCAAATAGCATTTTAATTTTTTTCACCACCATAATCCAATTTAAAAGATTTTAAAAATGCTATCTTAAATCATAGCGTTGAACGTTATTGATTTTTTTAAAATCTGTTTTATTAAAATATTAGATAGTGTCGTAATTTTAACTTTATATATAAAAAAATATTGTTTCCAAGTAGCTATGGCTCAGTTGCTATAGACGTTGATAGAAGAATCGCTTTATAACCGTCGAGCTGGGTTTAAAATCCAGCAAGGACCAGGTCTTTTTTGAAGCCAACTAGGCGGTCCCAGGCTACGGGGTATGATACACTGAATATCTAAAGCAACCGCATGATTCTATTAATAATATATTAGAAAAAAAGTGGGCATTATTTTATTTTAATAAAATTTTCTCGTTTCTTAAATCAGCATTAAGAAGATTTTTGTTTAGATTTGAACACACAAGTCATGATTTTTATTCTCAGCATAATTTAATGTTGAAATATCTCAGAGCCTACATGCCATCATCTGTACAAACGAGATCAAAATTGTTTTT